TTTCGTATCCTGAATAAGTTGAAAAATATAAAACTTATTTTTTTTACTTTACTAAATAATAATAATAAAGCTGAAAATAACTCGTCCTAAAATGAATGTCTACATTTCTATCTCATATATATATCTAGAGTATAAAACTAAATTTAGCAAATATTTTAATACTACCATTATCTTTCAATGATAGTGATACTTTAGTGCGTTTATTTTAGCGAAACATACTTAAAACTAATTTGATTCAGTGAATACCTTTTTATAATTATTTAAATATTCTAACAGATATTCAAACTGCATTAGAATGACACACACAAAATGATGAAGGTTTGAAGACATTTGACACTAGTTTTAACTATTCTTAATTCTTATACCAAATTTTCGTTATTTTAATAAACCATTTTGAATATGTACAATTGCAACATGTTACTGGAGGTCATAAAAATGTCACTTATAAAAGGTTTTTGATAGGAATAGGAGTAAAACATAAAATCTATTTTGGTACACATAAAACAACCTAGGAGGCAAGAAAAAGCTATAATACAAACAATGAATTAAAATTAATGTTTTGCAAGCATCTTGTTTCTAATAAGTTTTGTGCACTAGAACAAGAAAATTGAAAGAATCAAACTTTGGGCCTATTCTGACTGGTAATGGAAGATTAAAATACTACTAATGGAAGATTTATAAAATACTACCACAGGAACAATAGTTGATGTTAGAAGTGTCACAGATAATAACTGAATGATGTGACAAAGTATAAATTGAGCTAAACACCTCTTAAATATCGAAATACAGTCAGTCATAAAGAAAATGTTTGTAATCTATACCTCATGTTCATTATAGCGTGGAAAAAGTACTATAGTTCTTCATATTAATAAAAAGCTTTTTAAGACGAAGATAATGTGTAACAGTATATAAAATACTTTACTTTAAAACAATATTTTAATTGAGATTTCAAAAATCAGTAAATTTTGAAAGGGAGGAGGTAAGCATTGTTCATTTCCAAAAGCTTGAGCTAGCTCTTATTATGTCACGCTATCTTAAGGATATTGAGTTGTCATAGAAACATTGATGAAGTATGCAAAATTCTGTCTGATTATTACATTAATACAAAATCGACGTTGAGTTATTTTAGAAACTCTGCTGAAATATGCAAAGAATAATGTCCGAGCGTGACCATAAAAATAGTACAAAACACTGATCGTGACATCAGTACAAAACAAATCACATACACACATTTTCACTGAATACAACTACACATATTAAGGATAACTCTTGTCGACAACACTGACTTGTATTGTCTGACCTAATTTTATTAGTGAAATTAAATATCGTAAATGTAGTTGAAACAAAAATTAAAGATGAACAAAATCTGTTCCCATCTAACTACATGTTTGTACACTGCCCAATGTCTCGATATCAAAGTTACATTACTTTCAGCTAACAAAGTGCTCTCTTAGCATTTAAAACATTTTCTCTTAACAGTTATAACCCTCAATTATTAGTACATAACCTTATTTTGGCAGAAAAATTATGATTTTTTTTTCTCAAGCCTAATGCTAGTATAAAATCTCCTCACGTTAAATATCATAATAACCTAATTTCTGTAGATGTTTCACTATAATATACTGTCCCACTTGAAAGTTAAATAATATTAAAAATAAAAATCATATAAGGCCATATTTGGTTAATTAGACAATACTCACACTCTTGCTCACAAATAATTTCACAGCTCTTCTGACAAGGGCAAAAGTATCAAAATGTATTCATCATCTTTCAATATTTTTGTCCAAAAAAAAACACAATTACAAAAAAAATATGCCAAAATGTCATTATAAAATTAAAAATGTGACTTTACAAAAATCCAATGTGTATAATGAATGAAAATAGTTTTATCAAATTCAATTAAAATAAATACAATTGTAAAGCCCCCTAGAATACAGCACAAGTGAACACAAAAAAATGTGATTCAACAAGTTTTTGGAGAACTATTAAAATACACTGATGGCACACATACACAAATTACTGATGATTTTATAAAATGAAGTTTTAGTAAAGACGTAATATGTTTTGAGACAAATTAGGCCAAACTATTGGGTACAAAATTTATAAAAAAATCAGTGTGACTATCTCAATCTAGTCATGTGATTATGATACATGTATACTATTTCTCTGAACTTAATGTTTACCTACAAACGTAATAGTTGGCAGTTACATATCACTGATAACAATTTTGAGTTTCATATAACAGCAACCACCTTATTATAATGAACAACAGGTCTTGCCTTGTCTATCAATAATTCTGCCATTAAAAAATAAATAAAAATAAAGTTATACTTACTTTCCAAATTTTGTAAACACACTTCTACTCAGGCACAGTTTTTGGGAAGTTAAAGAATGTTTTACTGTTATATTTGATGAGTGAATCACAATGTTGAGGCAAGTTTTTGAATGCAACTACAAATGTATTATATTTGTGGTAACCATCAAATCTTTATAACTTCATGATGTAATAAACACAACTCTGATCTTAAAGTAAGTCTCAGAATTGTCTTTGAACACTTAATTATGAAAGCTGATGATATATTTTGCTCTTCACTCATTACAAACTTAATTTTTTTCCACATTAAACAAACAATTCCTGTTGTACATTTTTCTCAAATGGCAGTCTTATTTTTATTTTCCCTTTGCATCTTTGTGAAAGAATACAAATGTTCTTCACAAGATGGTCAAGGATTTTGGATCAGACCTCTTCCCCCCAGTATGTGTATTTGTGTGTATAAGACTTAAAGTAATGAATAATTGTTAAAATAATAACTTCCAAACTCAAGTAAGTTCAACAGTAGTCTAAAAGTAAAAAAAACATTTACTATGTTCAACATCTTCCAGCATATTCTCAAATAGTATAATTTCAAAAAGAGCAATGTTTATGTATGTTGCTTGAGAATGGATATTCTTTTTTTTTTAAATCCAGCATAAAATAATTACTTTTGTGACCACATATTATAATCCTGTAGCTAGAAAAAAAAAAAAGCACACAAAAATTGTCACGACAGTAAAACAGGTACAGTTTGGATATATAAAAATACCTATACACACAAAAAGAAATTTTTGGAGTCAGTCTGAAGTATCAAAACATGGACTTGAGAGCTAAATCTTAGTCCAATTTAAAAGTTCTTCCATTAAAACATAATCAATATAGAACAAAGCATCAATTTTGGTTACTATTTAAGTAACAGCAGTTTTCATAAAGCTTGTTATTACCATGTACTGACTTTAGAATACAAATAAAAAAAGAGAAATATAAACACATTATTCCATCTGAAAGTTGAGTAATATTAGGAAACAAAAAATTATGTAAGGCCATTTTTGGTTAATGAGACTGTATTCATGCACGTGCTTACAAATAATTTCACAGCTATTCTTACAAGGACAAAAAATATTTAAATGTAAAAAAAAATTACTGATGAAAAAGTTAATCTATGTTTCCTAATACACTAACCTAAGGATAACTTTATAAACATTCAGAAAGAATGATTATTTCATGAAAAGCACTTATTCTACAAAGTTATGCTAACAATTAGTACTTCTATATTTAGAGAAAAACATTGTTTCTATATACAAGTTATGTTAATTTTTCTACATTTATTATCCAGTTCATACTTCTATAACAAACCACACACAGTGTAGCTAAGACCTACAAATTTTTCTCATTATGAAAACACTTACTAATACTTTGTTTTTAACCATCAATGGGATTGTTTGTGTTTCAGCCATTATTAACAGCTCCTTTATTATGACAACATACAAACATTAGGCCAATTCTAAACACCACACAATACATTGAACAAGGTTTGTCTACAAGCAACAAATTCATACATCATGCTAAAACAAACAAAAGAAGCTACGAGGTTAAAAAGAAAAATATAAGTTTTTTATTCTAATGTAAGGCATTGCAGACTTTTTTTAATTATGCTCAATGTAAACAGACTGTTAAAAATACAAAATAAAATAAACCCACATAGCAAACAAGGTAAAGAAGCACTAAGACTGACTGAAAATCCAAAAATTTAGAAGAGTAACATCACTGGAGAATATGGGAGAACAAAAAGTCCAGTAACTAATTAGAAAAGTAGCTATAAACTAGAATAAGGTACAAAAGCAGGTCCACCAGTTGATGGGAAGGAGAGCAGCAAAGCAGCAGGTTCTATAGTTGATGAGAAAGATGCAGCAAAGCTGTAGATCCTGTAGGTTGGTGAGAATGATAGCAGTTAAGCAGTGGATCCTGTAGATGGTAAGAAGGATAGCGGCAAAGCAGTGAATCTGGAGTGATGAGAAGATAAAGCAAAGTAGTGGGTCTGTAGTTGGTAAGAATGATAGCAGCAAAGTGGTGGGTCTGGGGTGATGAGAAGATAAAGCAAAGTAGTGGATCCTGTACTTGATGAAAAAGATAGCAGCAAAGCAATGAGTACTATAGCAAGACACAAGAAGATAGAGCAGCAACAATGCCAGCAATCCGTGAAGAGGACTGCAACACTGCAGAAGACAGGACAACTGCAGTTGATGAGAAAAGTAGAAGCAAAGCAACAGGTCCTGAGATGACAAATAGAACTGAGGCAAAACATACAGATGAAAGATCTAACAGTGATGACAGGAGAATAGCAAAGCAGAAGGTCCAAACAGTAAAGCAAATGACATAACAATAGGAAGTCCAACAATAGGTGGAAAAGGTAATGAAAGAAGTAAAAAGAACAGCAACAAAAAACATGGGAGAATGTAATAGCTTTGGTCTTACTGGATGTGAGGATTATTTTTTTTATGTGTGTGGGAGCAGACAAAAAACGTTAGAAGAGGCCTTTCTTCTTTTCCTTTTTCTTCTCTTTGCCATCCAAATGCCTGCAACACAAACACAACAAAGCTTTTCAGCATCTTCGAACAACACTTAATTTTTACTTATTACAGCTAAAAATACTTCAGATTGAAAAAAAACTGAATTAATTAATTTTTGTGTGTCATAAATGATTTAAATAAGTGAAACCAAACTGATAAAAAAAAAAAGGAGGACAAAATAACATTTCATTTGAGATAATTCATGCACAAATTGCAAACTATAAGCAAAGAATAATACATATATTATATTTCTTGATACATCCTTAGGGACTCAAATTTGAATGACCAGAGGAAAAGTTAAAAGTTACAAGCAGTAAAATAATTGACTTTATTTGTTGATGTCATAAATTCAAATACTTGTATAAGAATGTAAAAACAGTTTGAAGTCCATATTAACCAAAAGATGAGTGGTATGGTCTACTGCATCAATTCATGAACAACAAAGTTTCCCTGTCATGTAAGTACGTCTTGCCAGAACACAATGAAAATCAGAGATAAGACAAACAATTAAGCACCCCTCCATTACCCAACAGAGTAAAAGGTGGAGAATATTTGTGAAGATAGTACTCACTCAGTGTAATGTTTGTACATATCCTAAAAATTATTTTCTGGATGATCAGTTACTTATCAATAAGAGCATTATTCCCTGATAGAAAACACTCAGACATTTCAATGAATCACAATATCAGAATGCTCTTGTATGAAACATAATAAAACAAATATGACACAATTCTTTGACATTTTATAATACATATACATAATACTTCTTACACTTCAGAAATATTAAAACATAAAACCCAGAAAAATCTATGACATCTTCTTTTGTTCTGGTTCATGTTACTGAGTTAGCACGTTTACAAATGTGTTCCCGTGTGATCAGAAACACTTATGACAAGGATGTTTAATGTAAAAATACACCAAAAGCAATTGCTAATTTCTGAAAAAAACCATATGAAAAAATAATAAAGTAAAGAACATCATGTCCAGTTGTATGATTTAAACATATTAAATGCTGTATTATAACATGTAGTACAGAAGTCAGTAAACTAACCAAATGTTATGCAAAAGAATAATGTCAAATGAAAGTTATCTAGGTAATTATATTCTGGTCAAGTATTTATCAGGGATATTTTGGCTCCAATAAAAGGTAGGAACTATTTATTAATACAACATTTTATAAGCTCATTATGTTCATATTTCTTGTATCTATTCATTGCTCTATCAATTACATATGGAAGTATGAAGATAATATTCTATGCATTTTAACATTTTTCAGTTATAATGCCAAGTCAATGTCATAACCCACAGTGGCAGGATCTAAGGTTTAAAGCTGTGATACAAATTCATACTTACTTTAGCACTAACCAAGATTTAGGATAAAGAAAGAAAAAAAAACACCTATCCAGCACTAAGATTACACTTTATTTCCGGTACAGTTCGAGGTCTGAGTCCAGCTATAACACTACAGATGTATTGCAAAATACTTCCCAATGATTAAAAGTAACATTTATACAATTTTTGGTAAGGTATATCTACTATGTTTTATTTTATTAGGCTTTATTTGTACTAGCATTACTCTCATGCAACTAATTTAAAAAAAAGGCCACTGGAAACCCTGAACATCACATGATCTTTTCTTTCACTTAATTCAATTATCAATTATACAGGGTAATTATGAAGAAATTTAACAGTTAAGTGTATTATGTATCACAAACAGTATAGCATAGGAAAATGAAATAGCACAGGGGTATTAAGTGTATCACATGGATGCAAATGCCACAGTTGGAACACTGCCACTACATATTTCACATGGAAATAACTAGGCCTGCCAATTGCAGTGCAACTCATTCAACAAGAATGAAACTGACAAGTTTGCCGAGAAGTGAACTAGTGAAATGTTATTACACCGAATGATACAATGCAGAAACAATTCTCAAGGAATAATACTGTATGGTGCATAACATCCATAGAGGGCCTTGTTCCAGTGCTGCTATACACAAATTCATCAACAAATGTGTAGGCAGACCACAGACACCTGCTGAGATAAGTCAAAACATAGTAGAGCATGCCAGCAGTGTGCGTTACGTCACCTGGTCTCTGGATTTGCCAATTTAAAATGTTCATAAGGCTCTTCACTGAAGGAGATGGATTTAACCTAATGTGCTGATTTTTCATTCCAGTTCTTGGCAAAACTGAAAGTTAATGACCAATGGTCTGCCAATATCTTATGGACTGATGAAGCACACTTAACTCTTTTTTAGAAGTGTCAACACACTCAACTGCATTATCTGGTTGAAAACTAACCTCGATGTAAAATTTCCTACACATCTATATGATGCTATGGTAAGAGTGGGGTGTGGTTTTGCAACTGACTTTGTTATTGGATGATAACTTTTTTGAAAAACCATCAGTATATGGACTACAAACCTGCATAGCCAATGCTGCATGGTATCATCAAATGCTCACAACTAATGTAATCCCCATGCTGCAGCAATGAAGTGTGATATACACTATGGTTTTCATGCAGGATTGTGCCCTTCTGCTTAGTGGTATCCAGGTGAAACTTGTTTTGTAGAGCATTTTCACGACAGAGTAATTTAATGTAATTTTTCCCTGTGAAAGACTATTTTGTTCACAGACCTAACATCAGCTGGTTTCTTGTTGTGGAAGTAGCCAAAGTCACTTGTTTACCATGGGAAGCCTTACATAATGCCAGACCCCAAAGATGCAATTGTCTAAAAGTGACCAGCATACCAGATTAGATACATGTTCTTCAAGTAATGTCTGTTGTCACGCAGATGCTGAAAGATCACATTTTCAACAGTTACTGTGATTGATCATAGTGGTGTCCTGAGGGTAACATATTGTATCCCCATGATATCCTGAGCATCCCCGTATAGTTTCACTTTATTATGCCACACCATTTGTGAGATATGATGTGTTGAACTGCAAAATTTTCTTTATAATCACCCAGTACATAAGTCACATTCTCAAGTCAGTTAATTTTGAAACATAGAGTTGAAGAGTTAGTGGATGCTTTGACATTATTTTTAACAATACTTACACATTCATAAATTATCCTGTAAAAAAAAAATGAGCATTGCTTCATACAATGATTTCAACAATTTCTTGAAACAAAAATTATAAACATGTTTAACATGAAGGCCAAAAATCATGACTAAACAACAAATATTGCAGATATGACAGAAAAGGAGCATACTCTAACAGATACTATTCTTCAAGATAGTCACTAACAAGGAATTAGAAGTTCTCTGAATATGAAAAATTTCCAAAAGGCTTATCCAGTAATAGAAGAGTTCAAGATTTTAAATACAGCAGTTTTTGTTATTTCTTCGAATAATAAAATGTTTTTAAAAAAATAACTATCTTTGTTTAAACTGTTGTCCGTACACAATGAAATCAAGAAACTATTGTAATATAAAAGTACATGACAAACAAAGATAAAATCATTCAAATATAGAATTAAACAAAGCATAACAATTTCTAAAACATCATGAAGGATATACAATATGCATTCACCACTATATACCAAAATTGTATAAACTATCAAACTGAACTTTAATTTCTTGTTTCTAGGTTACTTCAAAATCTAGACAGTTAGAACAAATGACAATTACTGCCTTTTATCAAGCCTAATTTTGTAAATTATTTTAGTTTAAAGATTCAACATTTACACTCAAATGTTTAATTTATTTAAACTTTATGTATTTTTCTTTTTACATTACAAAAATAACGAGTTTTACAATAATTTGACAGCACATTATATAAAGCTGGTAGCATCTTTCTTAAGGAATATCTTGAGCATGATATTTATGTAAAACATATTTGATACTCTACTAGTAAACTTTATATTACAACATAGTACAAACAAGAAGTTACTTTTTGAGTATTGCTTAGAATATTGGCACAAAAAAGTTTATCTACAGAAAGTGATGTGTAGTGGAATGTGTTTAGTATCGATTTTCATACCTTAGAAAATGTGTTAGCTTCTATTATAAATTATAATATATATAATAATTATAAATTGTATATATATATATATATAATTTATTTTATGATTCCTGAAACTACAGTAACTGTAGATTGGGGTTATTGTTTATACTGAGTGGTGGTTTGTAGTGAAACAATACATATTTTACCATTTAACACTACCAATATCCAACATATTTTACAGAACTTGTGAGGTTGTTGTTTAATATTGTATCAACATAAAGAGTGAAAGTAATATAAAGCAAATAAAATATAAAAATTTAAATCTGGTCAAAGAAGCTTCAAGAATTCATGCTCCTTATTGTTTTCTTATTGAGTAATTGTAATTACAATCTAGTAATTTTAATGGAATGTCCAAAGCCTCAAGAAAAGGATACTTATATAAAAAATAGAATGAAAAGAAATATCAAAATATAAGTGGAAGATGAGAAATGTTTTATTTCTCTGTGGATATCCCTTTAACATGACACAATATGAGCAGTTTTAATCAAATTACTTACAAACCAAATATCACTTTGAAAATTGAAATAGCTCTTTACGATATGAGAGCAAGACAAGCACAAAAAAAAAGTCTCTTTTAACCTCATTGGTAGCATTGATTACTAAATCTCCTTATTAAAGAAATTTTAAAACTTAATTTCACTTTATTCATACCTGCATAACTTATGGTAATTCTATTTACTATAACATATATACGTGTCTGTATGTTCAAGGTTTCTCACAAAAAGGTCTTTTCTCTGTAAAACATCTGTGCAGTGTTTGCTACAGTCTAAAAAACCTACAAAACTTACTTTGTATTTTGAAAAAAATAGGTAAATCAAATGATTTTGAGAGTTAAGAAGACTATTTCTACAAGTAATTTAGTTTTCTCTCAATAAAAATCTTTTATTTTCCTAAATTAGACATTTAATTTAATATGACAGTTAATGAATCACAGAAACTTATTAATTCAAATACACAGAGCATAACAAGTAAAAGAACTGCTTAATCTTTATAAAGAAAAAAAAAGGTACTGGATCCCTGTAGCCAAATGTGTGTCGTATTCTGGAAGCTAACAGTTTGAATTTTATTGAGTATACTATTTAAAATGAGATTGGAGGAGAGTAATATAGTTTACAACTTTAGTAACATATCAATTTATACTGCAAATGAGGCAGTCTGAAAATCGATGGTAATGTTATTTTCTTTGAGTACAAAAAACAACTTAAAAATTGGATTCTAGATCTCAGATCCAGCAGAAATGAAGTACTTAGTAAGTGTTGTTGTTTCTTTAAAGATATAGCACATGAAAGGCTTGTTTAAAAATAAATAATTACTTACCTTACAATAAGTTTTTTTTATATAACAATCAAATATAAATTTATATATTTTTTCAAGAGACTCAAGCTGAGGCGAGTAAATATGCTATGTCAAATAGATAACATACCTGATATACAAGTAATTTTTGCCAAATGAAAAAAATATTAAAAGTTTTCTTCATGTATCTGCAACATCCAGACTTTGCACTGACACACCTTTTTTTGAACTGTTCATGATATATTAAAATCATTAAGATTATGTTTCCTCTCTGATCACTAACCAAGATATTTCAAACCTACAGTTATACAGGATTACCAGTTTATAACGAATACTGATGATAATGTAGAATTAGGAGTAAACCATTTTTTTTTTTTACTTAGATTTATACATATATGTATTACTTTCTTTCACAGTATAAGGAAGTGTATAATTTAAATTCCAAAATTTACACTCCTCTTTTAGGAAATCAATAACTTGCAACAAATCTTTGTATATTTATGTAGTGTGCAAAATCCATTAACTTAATAAGGCATATAATCTTTAAGCTACTTCAACAAACTACTGGTGTATTACAGATATTTTATGCTACAAGTCCATTAGCTATAAACAACTGAAGTTGTGCAGTATTTTACATGGGACGACAACGAGCAGAAACAGACTGTGATAAGTTCATAAGTGAGGAAGTTTTGGTCCTTCTTGCAATAGTCCTATGAATATTTCAGGAAAAAAATTAAGGAATAATCTCATTATGTCAAAAAAGTAAGGTTAACCATGTAAATACCAAAAGTTTCTTTCAAGATTTTATTTCTGCCATTCAGATATTTTACCACAAAAATAAATTAGCATTATTTCTGTTGTAACAAAATGGTATATATTTCTGGTTGTAGAAATAGACTCTGTTCTCAACTAAGATATTTATATACAAGAAAAAATGTTTCATTACAATTTGGCTATAGCTGGGATTGCTGAAACAGTGTTCATAATAAAATAAAAGGTTTTTATTACAGCAGAGAGCTATATGGGTTTGGAAAATCTCAATTAATTCCAGAAAACTTAAATTTTCTGCAGGATATTATTTATGTTCACATACATACATATAAAACAATAAAAAATTAGCATAAACCAATAAATAGAATAATAAAGTTAACCTTGTATATAAATATTTAAACTATTGAAGTTGCTAAAAAGAAAAAAAAAAGTTTTCTTCCAAATCATTTTGTAGTTTTTGGATGGTTTAAGTTAACTGATTTCTTAAGATCCTTCACAAAATTTACAGTATACTCAATGTGCAAAAATTAAGATATTCTGATGACCTGTGAAGATACTTTAACATAGCTATTTCAATTTGAATATATTTTACACTATATAAAGACCCAGTATAAAATAAAATCCACCACAGTTAGGTTTATATATCAGTCTTAAAAAAACAAAAAGGGTGGTGGTTGGGAAGATGTACACTTGTGCATAGGCCAGAAATCTTTAAGTCTTCAAATTACTTTAATTAAGATTAAAAACTAAGAACTGTAATTTCTAAATGAGAAAAAACAGTTTCGATACCCTTAAAAAAATTTAACCTTAAAGTCTAGTTCTTTCAAAGGCATTGGAGTTTCTAAGTTTCAACCTATTTTTATGATCCTGGTTTTGTAGTACAGATAGAGGGGGGAGGTGGAGGAAGACACATTAAATCTTCTTTTGTTTTTTGGTCTCAAAAGGGATATTTGAACTTGTAATCCCTAATTTGAAACTGATAGACTACAGGGAAGGCAAGTCAACAGTATCCACTGCCTACTTTTTCGCTACTCTATCAAATAATGGAAGTTGACCATCACTTTTAAAATGTTCCAGCAACCCCAAAGTGAAGAGCATGATTATTTTTTTCTTTCAGCAACAGAACAGGAACCATGGAACCTGGGTTTCACAGTCAAGAACACTAACCACTTTATTCATATTTATTCACATCTATTGGTAAATTGTTTCTATGAATATAGAAGCAATTAAATCAGAGAAAATAAAATTACACATTAGTCATCTATACTTTAAAGAGGTACAATAAATAACTCTTTCCAGAACAAGTGTATCACTATGGCTGATCTTAGTGAAAGAATGCACTATGGTGACACAAGCTTCAAGTAGCAAATAATCTCAATGAGAACCAAATTATTAGTTAATATATTCTGAAACCAGGCTAACCTTTTCAGGAAAAACATTGATGAAATATATAAACTTACATACCTTTTTGGTTTAAACTAATTATCATAAGGAATGTAATAATAAAAAAAGTTTTATCATAATTGATATTACACACAAGAAGCAGATCAAACACTTGAAAGCATCCATAACTAAAACTTTTTTTTTCTTCAGCAAACTTAAAATTGAATTGAAGCCATTATTTTGTTGAGGTACTTCAATAACAAGACTTCTAAGAGGAGGAAATTATGACATACAAAATTATAAACATGATGTGTTATGATTTTTTTTATGAATACAACTTTGACATATTTAGCTTTAACTGGAGACACTAATCGAAAATGTTGTGTAAAATCAGACAAAATGGTAGTTTTGTAGCCAAAATAAAAAGGAAAATTATGAAAAACAAAATACTGTAGTCTTTTCTGCTTTGCATATTTTATTCATTGTGCCTAAAATAAGCATGCTTATTACTCTTGTCAGAATCAAAAATGGCAAATGTTTTGCCTTATCCTGAATATTATGCTCTTCTAGAACAGGTTCATTCATCAGTTTTGCTTACTTTTGATTCTAGAACCACATGAAGTTTCCAGAAAATTTAAAAATTTTTAGTACCCCAACTTTTGTCCAGCAATGAAAAAAATTGGTGTAAGAATTTTTTTTCTTAGTGGTATAAATGTGAAGATAAAATTCAGTGCCATGCATTTTGCAAAGACCATATGTAAAATCTGCTTAAAATGACTTTCAAAATAACCCATTTTTGGCCATCAAGAGAAGCAGCACCAAAGAAAGTAAGCACGTCAAGTGCAGTATCAAATGTGCATTTGCAACATGAACACCTAGTGACCAGCTGATCCTTACTTTATCTCTTGCAAATTTTACATATACTAGCCATAGCATTAGCAGCAATTGATGCAATGAATTCAACCTGTGATTACTTAGCTGAAGCAGTTACCTACTTCATTTTAACTGTAAATAAATGTTTATTCTTAAAAGCCTGCAACAAGAGTAGTGAATGAGAAAAAACACTGTTTAATAATAATAAATACCCTACTCCCTCTTCATCTGGTCACTCTTGTTCCCAGAATTCATTTTGCATAGCTCAGAACAAAATTTTCACCCAGTGACTCTGCTGCTTATGGCTCTTTCTCACATGTTGTCAACCTTAAAGGTAAGACACTTTCCAATCCCATGTAATCTACTTGATAATTTGTTTAATATTTGCAATATACTGAGCTGCTGTTAATTCCCTATATCACTTGCTTCACTTTAAAGGTCTAGTTAAACAATAATGATTACAAAGCAAGTGTCTTGGGTTGATGAAACATACAAAAATACATCCACTCGAGCAAAAAAGTCAAATTCTGCTTTAGTAGGCGAGAACACGTAAAAATAGCAAAACAAAGCAACTTGGAATTACTCACATTGCATCATTTTATTCATGTGTTGTAAAACTGAGTTCACATTTTAACTGACTCTTAATTCACCTATGAATAATCCCCAACTAATACGGAATAAAATGCAAAGTTGTGAAACAGGAGCTAAGCTGAACATACGTGGCTGAGGCTTTGAATTAGAGGCATATGTATATTTGTGTAAATAGTTTTGGTTTGAGGTTTAGAGATATGCATTTTAAAAGTTCATGTGTGTATATGTTAGACTTCTTCAGTTCAGGATGATAAGGAAATTGCTCCCTAGAACCAACCTGATGTATTTGTCTAGCAATAGAAAACCTACGTGAAGAAAAAAAAATCATTTGTTCAACCATGATCTACACTATCTATATTTAATTCTATTCATTCAAACTCAAACTTGATTATGGACAGTGTTTTCACATGATCAAATGAAGCAAAGAAAACTTACTCTTTTGAGTTAGCATCCATAGACATTCTATGAAAGGTATCATTTCCATTAGCACTTTCAAATGCCATTTTCTCCTTTTCAAAAGTTCTTCTTTTTTCTTCCAACTCTTGTCTTTGCTGCTCTAAGCTTTTGTTCATTTGCTCATGTCTACGCTGGAGCTGTATATATATATGAATATTTTATTAAATTTCTTTATTAAAACCTTTGGCTTGAAATTACCATATTAACAAAATTTTATTCCTACATTAATTTTTTTATTAGGATACAGAAAATACTTTTGTGATGTAATATTTTGACGATAACTGGCTATTTAAACTGAAAATCACATAACCAGTGAAATTAATAATATTTTAGTGTTAGCTAAACAATAAATATAATTCAATTAGTTGAAGATTTATGGAAATAAATAACATTATAATGTTGAGACAAATATCCAATGTATAAAGGATAAAACATTTAAGAATCAGAATGTTAAATTCTTCCTCTTCCTTACATCAGATTCTGAGTCTTTCAGTTTATTCATTTTTTCTTTCACTTTCATTTCAAACACTTGTTCCATTTCCTTTTCCATTTTCTTCATCTTAAAATCATGTTCTTTCTTTTCTTCTTCCATTTGCGAAAGGGGATTTCTAGATTGATAAAGCAAAAGAAAATAAGAAATTATTGAATGAACACGGAAGTATCAGTGAATCTGCATAAAACATTTTCTAGTGTACAAAAATAACTTCTGATGTAATCATGGGTTCGAGTAATTTATATATTGCTTCGTCTTTACATTTTATTTCTGTCATAATCAATAACATCATCGATTTTTGTCTCTACTACCGTGACTTTTTTTCTGAAAATTTAACATGTATAGGTTATCTTGATATTGCTGCAATTTCACTTATGAGCTTGAAAACTTCACACATGTACACACACACACAACAAAAAAAATTCTTCATCAGTATCAAAGGTTATATATATTTTTTCTTCTGGTCAAACTCTCCGAGTTAAGATTGATTTTGAAGTGTATATAAAACAAATTCAATAGTAATAAAGTATTAGCAGTAACATAATTTAATAACAATAACAACAACAAAAAGAAAATACTTGTTTGGTATAGCTCCTGGTTTTCCATCTGCTCCAACTCCAGCAAGCTTTCGACATCGGTAGTTTTCATAATGAACATTGTTTGTAACATCTTTAAGATCTTGCATATGAGTCCTTTAGATAGTAAAACATCTGATTAATCTGTGCTTCATAATACAAACATAGAAACGTGCTTATATTTATGTCATTTGTTGTCAAAATATGAGATTCCAAAACAATTACATTTGATATATATGATCAGTAAAAGGTGACCTCAATGACAGAAAATCTTTAAATACTATTTTATAAAACATATTAATTATATGTAACACTGACAATTGTTTAAATTATTATAGTATTTATGGGAAATGTTTTAAAGCAAAAATTAAAAATCAGTATATATGTACAAATACTCTTTTAATCATCACTTGTTGATTTTTCACAATTCACAAATGATAATTTTCAGCATGGAAACAATAAATAACTACCAATTTTATATATAAAGTTCATTACTATTTTTTTTCCTTATATCTAACAATGATGAAAATTATTTTCAATATTTCATGAGTCACAATTTGAAAATGAATGCCCAAGAGCATGAGACATTATCTCTGTAAATGGTCATGCAACTACATAAGATTGGTTCTTCAAGTTTTTAATCACTGTCAATGTAACAATATCACAGAGCAAAGTTTCTAACAGTGAATTGGTTGAGAAAGTCACAATAATTTTGTTACTTTTGCAAGATTTGGAAGATAAGCATCTACATAAATTAACAATGACATGAGTCAGTTAGTGTGTAAAAAAAAAACTCTTCATAGTATTCTAGTAATCGAAAAAAAAACATAATTATTATTTTTTAAACCAAAGCATAAGCCAAAAATTGGAGCACATTGACTGTAAACATTTACATGACCATAATGTTTAATTTTAAATTTCATTACAAACTTTAATTACAAAATAGAAGCTGAAAAGGTCACTACCATCATTATAATAGCACGCGAAGAACAGGTAATAAAGCCATTAATCAATTCTTAAGATTATTTATGAAACTAGTATACAAAAGTATTTTATATATAAATTTACTTTATAGCATTTTTCCAAATTAATAACTTATTTTAAAATCTAAAAGGTTGGTCTTACTTCACTCCTGGAAAGTATTCTTTTTTTTTTTCCTTTCTTTTTTCCTGGTTATGTTTCCTTTCAGAAACATAATTAAGAAAAAGAATAAAAAAACGAAGACATTTCACGAGTAGGGTAAGAACAAATTCTTAAATTGTAAAAAATGATGGATGACCTCAGTTTCTGAAAAATGTACACCAATTAATAATTCAGTTTTCTCAACAATATTCTAAAAGATGTTTTTACATGGATCATATGAATTATAAAAGAATAGTTTTTATGTCATTATTTCTTCATTTGTCTTATCTTTCACAAACAATGTTATAATGAATATATAAATAAAATAACATTTTATTAAACTTTTCTAAGAAAGTATTTTTTTCATTCCTTCAAAAAATGCTGAAAATAGAGAATTTCATTAACTTCAATTCCTGCTCACCTGATCAACATATTCCTTAGAGCAATAAAATCACAGTGTTCTAAATTTTCAACTGGAAATTAAAAATAATACATTCATAAAACACATTTTTAAATTTGAAATTACAATTAGCAAAAAATATAGGAACAGATAACTATTATATAATTTAACTCTTGGTATTTCTATTAAATTTTATCAATTACATCTTTATACAAATATTATAATTTCCTTGTAATTTTACATGAATGTTCATTTATAGACATACAATTTAGTTAATGACTATTTTAAAATGTTTCAAATCAACAAATCATTATTTAAAAAATAAAAAACTAGTTCTAATTATTTTCTAATTGATTGAAGATATATAAAGATTAAACAGGAAGATGTTAATGCAAAAAATAAGTCGTACATAACCTCAGTAACAAGATGGTTTCAACAACCAACTGTTTCAAACTCTGTATTTATAATATCAAAAGTAGAAATGTTCAATAACTTTTTTTTCAAAAGGGGATTCCCTTACACAACACACTCACAAAAATATTTTATCATATAGCTTATTCAGGTTAGGCTTATTTTAAAGACACTAAGATGTGCTTTCTTTTAAAGAATATTCAACCTCCTAACTCCTTTTTCACCCTGGACATACCTCCTGTCATTTTTGTTAAATAGAGGCTTACCTTCTGCTATACCCCAGGGATACTTTCTACCACGTACTTTCTTCCCATTCACTTCTACTAAAGTGTTACTTCCGACTACTGCAAAAGGGACACGTGCCTAAAAATATAATTTATAAAAAAATTTTCATGAAAACATAATGAAGCTAAATCAAAAAATCACCTGAGAATTAATTAACCTATAATGATTACACAAAGCTAATTAAGTCCTATTATAATTAATTTCTTTTGAGTTCTAAACAAATCCACATAAACAAAGTTCATAATTTTATTCTATATGCACTCCAATTCCTGAAAAATTAAAAAAATGCTTAACTGCCACTCTTTAAAATGCAAAATATTCCTCCCTATATGTTAAGGTTTCTTTCCATGATCAACCAGTAAAGTAAGATTAACATCACTGGCTTTTCAAAATGAACGGTGAATATGAACACTAAATTACTTAGATCTCAATATTTATAATAATAATAATAAAGAACTATACAATACTTTTGATGTTAACTTTATCTTAGTATTGAAAGATAAAACTCCAAATACATTACTATGCACTGGTACCTTTTAACATAAAATTCCTTTTACTTTGAGAGGCAGCAAAAAACTGTTGCATGTAAAAGTCTCATACATGAAATGAATTACACAATGTGGATTTCCAGAAACAAGAGTGAGAATTTTGTAACAAATACATTTTCTTGTGTTGCAGCTATTGAAAGAAGAATTTTTCATCACTAATACAGCTCATCAGATTAAAGTGCACAATACCTAGTCTTAAAAGAAATGTTATTTAAAGCAGGAATTTCTAATTTATTATTGATGTAATTAAAAACAAAATCATAACTATCAAATTGTAGCCATTTTAACTTACCTTCATAGGTTTCTGCAGCTTATTTTCTTCTTCATCATCACAGTCAGGAAATTCATAAATCTTTATCTTATTCTGTGTTATTTCATTCAATATCTGAAATGACAGTCATGATACCTAACGTCATTTTTTATACTAGTTTAATGTCAGGAAAGCTTCTGCAGACATAAGTATCAAGTCAAAAATAAGACATAGATGCTATCATGTGAAAGTTTCCTGGACTTGCTGGATTTAGACTTACTTAAGAATAAACATCTGCTGTAACTAATAAGGTTTATAATGTTTTTAGTTTTTGCTTTCTATCTGTGTAGGATGAAACTGTTTATTATACCATTTTTTTTTCCCATGAAGTCATCCACTAGCATGGGAGATATATTTGATGAATGTGCTTATCAACAGGTAAAAATCAACAAACCATTTCAAAAGCAATACTAACTGGGGAAGTACCAGTTCATAAAATAACATCCCCACACCATTTTGAAGCAGTACTACATAATGACATTCATAATGAAAACAAAACTTCCAACAATGTTTCAGGAGAATATTTCATGTCAAAAAATAAAAATCATTAGATTTTTAAGATAAAAAGTTTCTCATGGAGGAGATGTTCATAAGCAAAAGCAGCTATTATTCCTGGGGTGTGTTATCACGTAAAGATGTATTTATAAGCACAACCAACATTACCTTCCAATTAGAAAACTTCAGATGTTAGTATTTTAAAAATTGAAGTTACTTGCATCAATAAGTAGGCTAAGGTACACTTCTATAAATTAGTTAATTTTGTATAATTTGGATAAATATTCATCACATAATTATATTATTCTATTCTGTATATGTATGGTTCCTTTCAGTAATAATATTGGTAAGCTACTTACTATATCAATATAATTATGTTTATTTTAATTTGTCATTAATTATTAAACTTGTATTATAAATATTGATTGGTTGATTTGTTGATTTAGAATTTGTGTTTAGTAGGACTAACCTAAATCTCCATAGATGGCCAAACCTCCTGAGATATTACTGGGTTTATAGCTAAATATATCATTAAAAGTGAAGTTACTCAACTGAGGAAACAATGCATTCTACTCTTTATAAGCACAAACATAAGGAAAGTATATTTAATTAGCTATGGTGATGAACATTAATTTTTATTTTCCCACTAAGTTTATAGCTTACAATGATCAAAAGTTATTTTTTCTTCTCATTTGAAATACAATACTACAGTGGAACCCCTTCATAACATTATAGTTGGGGTCCACGAACTGCGATCACAATGAATTTGGGGTTACGTTATTTTTGGGTACCCACAAATGGTCATTTTTCATATCCCTTGCATTGCTATTTGGTACATAGATGTTTTCTCCTAAAACACAGGCTAGGGTGCAAAGTTTTACTTCTTCTTTCTTCAAACCATCGTAGGGTGGATTCACTGACCACAAGGTCACAAGCAACCTGAGTTTGCTGTTTGCCATTTTCAATTTGATCCAGAACGTACAGTGTATCTTTGATGGTAAATAACATGCATTTACATATGGATTTATCCATCATGTACAATATAAAAAAAAGACAATTAAATCATGAAAAACAAGTGCTATGTACAGATTTAAGAAAAAACATCTTGAAATGCCAGAAGACAAATAGGCTGTGTTAGAATCGCATTTCTGTTCAACTTTTATATACTGGACTGTCCTCTAGAAAGCAGCATGTGTTAGTCATGTGACTAAAAAGGCTTCTCAGAAAAACAAACACGACAAAGACAATTTTTTTAATGAAAAAATCGGCAAAATCATTGAATTACACTACAATATCTTAATTGAAAACTGCCAAAACTCGCTAATTCAACAATAGAAAATTGGGAACCAAACACTGACCTCATTATATCCGAATTCATGATATATCAGGGCTCACTTTAACGGGGTTCTACTGTATTATTTTTAACTTTTCTGTTTAGCTAGAGTTAATCTATTTTTAAAACAAATGGCTATAGTCCTTTTACATTACTTTTCCAAAAAACTACACACACACAGTAAGTTGTGGTTACAAACTAGATTTACTATTTTATTCATATGGTTTTCCTTATCTGAGATTGTTCTAAAAATTTAATAAATGCACTTTAAAGGATATTTAATTATTCTTTTTACCTACCCATACAACTTTTTATACAGCAGTAAAGTCTAGTATAAAGCTGTGTCAATGAAGTATAGTTAAGCCTCTCAAAGCCTATAAAGTTAGCCCAAGTTAGTTAAGTTTTGAAGGTACTCCAGCTAGTTATTGATCTTAACAATTATTAACTGTTTATCAACTTGATAATGGACTTTAAACACTTGATTGTTGAAGGTCTCATTAAGTAATACACAATCATTGAATTTGTCAAGCAATAACAGTTCCAACAAAGGTCAATTTATTTGAAGAGAGCATATATTAACAAAAAGCAAATTCAAAAATTTGTTTCTAGCTGACCTGATTAGACGTGTTTCAACAATTATCGAAAGTAAAATTGAGTGTTTAAACCAGAATAGGAGTCTACATATTGATTTTGAAAATAGATTTAGCAGCAAAATACATTTTATCGAGTACAAAAGCACATTCATAGGGATGAATATTGTGTAATGTGATGGTTATAAAGAATAAAAGATCCTCTAAAGCTGGAGATGAACAACTCGAGTTTTTGACAGAAGTCACAATGTCAGACTCCGATATAGGTGCTACAGTGAAATGATCATTGGCTTAGGAGCATGATTGCTTTCACATTTATATGAATAAGTAGGATGGTCTAGTCGACAGGTGTTAAAGAGAGGACTGGCATCCAGTTAACCACACAAAGGAGTGTAGTGGGGGGCCTTGACAATATGAAAAGATTTATTTATTGGCATATTTGACTGTAGGATGAGAGTTATAGGTAAGGCAGCAGTCACAGTAGACGAAGTTCTTGATAGTTCAACTCTATATGATTGCCTGAATAAGAAGGTACTATGGCCAAGAAGGTGATCCGACACATCTCTACTGTTAGTGAGAATCCGTAACTTGTCTTCAAGTGGTCGTTCAGATGCTTATGTAGAACAAACTTATTTTATTCTTTAAAAGCAGTGTTGCTTGACAAGCACAGATAATATCAAATAATCAAACTTCTTTCAAACACTGAAGTTTATGAAAAAAATAGCAATGCTCTAAGATTATTTGACATTTACTGCAACTGGATAGCCATTAGAAAATTCAAGGTACAAAAAACAATCTCATGTTTCTGAACTGCAATCTCAATCTCTTAGAAAAGCTGAAATGAGTAACTACATTACTGAATGAGTCATAAAAAAATTCCAAAGCCTATAAAATTTTGTTGTTGTAGGTAAACTAGCATTACATTTATCTAAATGTATGATTTTTATGTGAAATACTAACCTGTCCGAAAAGAAAAAATGTTTAACATTTTTTTTACACTATACTATTTCTGTTATATAGTTTAAAGAAAATTGTTACAATCTAGCTCATCACAGTGATCTCATGTCCCATAACCATACTGAACCTGAAATTTTTTTAATATTAACAATATATAATATATGGCAATAGAAACAGACTGATATGATAAAGAAATGGCTGTAAGCATATAAATCTAAGTAATTTGTTTTGAAAGTTTTATTATGTCTACTATATCCAAAATCTGTCTTTTTGTTTCTCTCTAGGAGGAAAATGGCACAAGTTTGTAAACCTTGTATCTTTTTACACGTAGCTACTTAGAATAACTTGTCTAATACAATAAAACACAGAGTGTATCTGTCTGTCTATTTCTCAGTCAAGCAATGCTGTCATAGCAAGTTATTACATAATTTAAGTAGTTTGGCTTCCTGTCAATTAGAAGCGAGTAGTCTACGACTGATCGAAAATTAAAGATATATTTGGACTAAAATGTACAAAAAATTGCACCTTTTTAACAATTTGAAAACATATCTTTGTTAAATCATAGAGTTAATCTAGAAAAGACGTAAATATACTTTAGTAAACATTTTATACAACATATTTAAAGCTTATCAAAGTTTTTAAAAAGGTCTAATGTTAGGTCGTACAATACTATCACAAGATTATTTATTAAAAGTATTAAGTGTGATAAGGTTTAGCCCTAAATGAGCTAAAACAAAAAATGTACACAAGTTACAGTGTTAATTTACCTCTATATCGAACATAGTCCATACTTAATAAAGGCTTAACTAATGTTAGGACTAAGACAAGAGGACTTATAGATTTCAGTGTCTGCAATTATAATTATTTTGTATTACTCTAGAAATCCTGTATTTAAAGAAGTATTGTTGCAACAAAGATACTAATTTGGCCATAAATGTTTTGGGGTCTCTGCTAGTTTTTAGTAATGCAGTGTCTCCAGTCGCTGCATTACTAAAAACTAGCACTAACAACATATTGGTAACTTGTGGATTTGTCATTCTATCATTAATGTTTGACACTTTATATATGTTATGTATTTCTTACTTTTATGGTAAACTTGTAACTACAGTAATCCAGACCAGTAAAAATTATGAAAATTATTTTTACAAATCAATGTGATATAAATGCATACCTTTGATATTTTATGTTTCAGGTTCATTTTGTAACTTAGCTTCAACTATCAGTTTGGGTAATCAGTAGGACAGTATACAGCCAGAATGCTATTGGTAACATCAGTAAAGAAACTATCCTACCTCCTGTGAGAAAGCTAGCCTCCAAATGAGGAGTCATCACTCATTAGCAAAAACCCTTAAGATCGTACCTCATAGTCAAATAAATTACCAGTTACATAATGTAAGCAAGAAGTTTGGCAGCTACAAACAGCATTTACTATAATACGTGTTAATTTTTCTAGCACAGGAAGTTCATAAGATTCACCAGGACAACTGTTAAACTTCTGTCTTGTCATATTCATACCTCTACAAATAGCATCAACTTCAAATTTACAAATGTGATGATAATTTTTCTTTCAATGAGTACAATGTTACAAATGTTATCATGCAAAGGATAGATAGTCATAAACAAACCTAAAAACATTATACAGTTTTGGAGTAATTGACTACAAGAAACAAAAAAACTTATTTCAGAGAAGTGTTATTTATGAGGTTATATTGTCAATATCTAAAACCATTAAAACCAATTCTAAGCTCTAATGTTTTGAGAGAAAAGATCTATAATTTATACCAACAAATACTTTTACACCAGCATTTCTTATGTGAAGAATGGATGTCTATAGCTAAAATCACAAAACTATCTCACTTTTCAAGTTCACACTTTATGTCATACCAGTGTTTTTTATGGACATTTGTATATATAAGTTAACAATTACCTATGAGATGCATTTCTTGTAATGGATGAGTGATGTTTAAATAAATTAAACCTTTTGTTAATTCTATGTATTAGATGAAAAGTGAATTTTATATTTTGTTTTTTGCACAAGTCCTTAAAATGCAATCAATATAAAGTCATTTTCTCTTTCTAAATACATGGAGGTCTTCTGTAAGTGTTGTAAGAGATAGTTCTGGATTTAAAATAAAAGGTATTCAAAGAGTTAGAAACATTTTTGGATGACACCATAGAAATACTAACCTATTTACCAGAAATCATTCCTAACTGTTAAAAACAAATTTAACATTTAATCAGTAATTACCAATATATTATGTTTGAATGCCTGTTTAAGCATAAACCAATAAACTATAGTTATAATCTGATTCCTTGTACAACTCTATTACATATGTCATATATCTTGAAAACATCCACTTTACTTACTGTCCTTTTAAAAAGAGCACACTCTTCAGAAGTCATTGTGTCAGCTTTGGCAATGAGTGGAATGATGTTAACCTTGTCATGCAGTCTCTTCATAAATTCAATGTCTAATGTTTTTAAACTGTAATGACAAATTTGAAAAATTATTTTCAAAAACCAAATGAAAAAATTCACAAAACTCTATGAATTAAAAATCAAAAAATGAAGTTGAATGAATATAAACAAACTATTACAATTACAGTAATCCCTCAATAACTCAAAACATATGGGGCTAAAACCATGCCGAGTTATAATAAATTCCGAGTTACTGATATACTTTCCCCTACCCCAAAATCATAACTTTTTTGGACAAAATAAACTAATATACACTACTGTTGTTTGAAAATAAATAAAATTAAATTCAAAAAAACATTAAAAGTTAACACTTAACAGCACTGCAGGCCAAAAAAGATGATGATTCAAGTTTATGGCACCATATGGTAGGTGACAGAGGTGATTGCAGGAGGGCTTAATACACTTTGGTCAAAACTGTACACTACTTGATCAATTAAAAATTAATTACATTTTGAATGGTCACTTAAACAATAAATCATTCACTTAAAACTTAAAGATTATTTGAATACACTAAATTATTAACTTAAAAATTAATTAATTTATATTAAATTAAATATATATAAATAAATTAATGTTTAATTTCTAAGTTAATAATTTAGTGTATTCAATTAATCTATAATTTTTAAGCAAATGATTTATTGTTTAATTTAATTAAATGAATTATTAACTGTCTGAAGACATCAATGTGAAGGAAGCTGGCACTGCTGGAATTGGTGTCTGAGGAAGAGTATCCAGATACTGCAGGCAGACCAATGGAGGCTTCACTAGTGGTGGAAGGAAGATTTAGTCTGGTTTTTATTGACAGGGGTTTAAAAAAAGTCAGATATTTTCCACTGTTTATAATTGCTGTGCTGAAGCTTGATGACATCTGCCCTGATATCTCTCAAAGTTTCATAGTGTTGTTCCAAATCAGGCAACCGCTCAACTGCCTCAGTTGCTTGGAAGAATTTGTAAGGATGCCGAGTTATGTCAAATTCTGAGTTATCAAAGGGTTACTGTAATAGGTATACTTTGATTTTCTCCATGAGGGGTGTTGCAAAATAAATCACACTTTTTTTTTCCATGAAGTAATGACGAACTTGGTACGACCGCTAATATCATCACTCATGAGAAACGTCATTTCAACTTACTCTTGGGTGTTCGTGTTGCATGTGCTGCCTTCAGGATGGCTCTGAAACTAGTCGCAGACATGCTCTGAGAATTCATGTCTCCCAATCGACACATCGCAATGCCAGATTTGAAAAATCCAATTAATGCCCCAAAAGGTTCAGAATTGTTGAATTTGAAAGAGTGATCCATGAAAAAGTGGTGGAATTTAACTCCCATCAAAAATGTCAGAGCTTTCATTCAACAATGCACAGAAGAAATGTTGGAAACTTTGCATGAATGTAAGAGACACAAATGTGAAACCTTGATTAGTGTTCTCACTAATGTGCTCACAGAGACAGCCAAAAAACAGACATGTTTGTTGCATTGCTGAAATATTTTGCAAATCAATTAAAACTTGTGCATGAGAACAATGGTGTCCTAATCAAGCAATAGTGATACTTGGAATTATTTTTTTGATTGAATTAAAATCTTATTTTACTTTGTTATGCTCTCGGGGTAAAAAGTGTGATTTATTTTGCAACACCCCTTACTATTTAAACCTAAGAAATAAATATATTGCATACAATGTACTCAGACTACAAAAACCGGATGTAATCATATCTTTTGATTTAGAAACAAGGTAATAACTATGACGTATTACTTTTAATATGTTTTTCCTATGTTTACGAAGATGACTGCTGATAATGATTACCCGTGTCCAGATGGTGCAATGAAATACAGACAACAATGTACCCTGGAGTCTACAATTGTTCCTCGATGAACCCTGGATTCTGCATTCAGATATTCTTCATACTTATTTTCAATGTAGTTTGTAACTGGTTGCCAACTGTAGAAATGAAAGGTCTGTGGTAAATGTTCAATACAATTACAACTTATGTATTGTCATTTTAAGTAAAATGGGTTATTAAAGATAAGCATGACTATTACTGTTATATAATTAATTCTTAAAATTAAAGAAACTACACAGTAAATTATGTAAAAAAAAACTTTCTCAGAAGTTTCTTGACTTCATATTACACTTTGTAACTCTTTGTCTTCTATACTTTAAATTATTATGAGTCACTGATAATGATCAAACAGTTACTAAATGTTAATTTCTTAAGTCTGTGACATACCAGTCACTGTTATCTACAGCATCCCCAAATCCTGGTGTGTCCACAACTGTAAGTGTCAAATTGACACCATTTTCTTTTAATAGCACCTTTGTGGTTTCAACCTTGAAAACAATGTAATAAATATAAATATACACGTTTATTTTATAGGTGTTTAATAAACTTATATTCATTAGCATGATATTAAGGTTTTATGACAAGCAGAAAGGTAAAAATTAACCACACAACACACTAAAAATAGAGAAAAAGAAAGTGCAACTCGTCCAGACTTTAACAATTAAATACATCTTGAACACATCACCAATGAACTTAAAAATACCAAAGAATTAAAATTCTTAACTTAAAGATGTTGGTTTTTACTTTAACAGATGGTATTTATTATATCATTCTAATCTATTTATACATATTCTAACTTTTACAACCAGTATATATACATTTAAGTTACTGTAGTGTTTTGAAAGTTGTATAAAAGTAACAGATTATTAGTTTCTAAGTGTACAGGTTTCAGTTATTTTTACGTATGCATATTAAATATATCACAATAATAGTAATACACTTAGCTCATTGAGTTCTTTTTTACTTAATGAAGATATATATACAACACTTCTTAGAACCTCAAAAATTTACACTACAAATCCATGAAAGATCTGAGTCATATTTACTTATAATAAATCGCTTTTTAAGCATTTTCTCTAAATACATGTATTTAACACACAGTAGTTATATCCTTATTGTATGGATATTAGTCTCTTAAAATACTTTACAAGCTAAAATATCTCTAAATTAATAGACTAAATACTCTATATCTCCTTTCTAATGAGCTAAACACAATTTGAACTTTTATTTTGCTTTATTTACATATTACCATAATGTCTGACTTAATTCTCCTTAAATTGAAAATCCACTTAAAGACAACCAACTGATAAGATACACAATTAAAAAAAACTTCCTTACTTGCACTGTCTTCTTCACCCTCAGGGCTGGACCAGGATATTCATTTGAATAAATATCTGTTAGAAACATGGAATTGATGAGGGTTGACTTCCCAAGACCTGACTCTCCTACATAAAAAAAGAACAGTGGAATTAACTTGCTTCGTTTAGCCAATTAAAGCTTAGAATGATTAATATACTCAAAAAGGGGATGTGAGAAGTCAGTATTTTCAGAACTGTTTTCTGTATTTTGAATAAATTAAAATTTTGAATATATATAAATAATTATAGATTTTATAATTGCAATAACACAATAAGAAAATTCTCTCTTAAATACTAGCCCCAAGAAACAGCTTACATTAGAAATATTTCAAATCAAATATTTTCAGAAAATTGTGCTTTGATCAACATCACATATTATTACAAATGATTTGTTTGTTGAATTATGCACAAAGCTATATGGGTCATTTGTGCTAGCCATCCCTAAATTTGAAGTGCCAGACTAGAGGGAAGATGGTTGGTTTGTTTTGAATTTTGTGCAAAGCTACACGAGGGATATCTACACTAGCAATTTAGCAGTGAAAGACTAGAGAGAATGCAGATAGTCATCACCACCCACTGCCAACTCTTGGGCTACTTTTTTATTAACCAATAGTGAGATTAACCATCACATTATAATGCCCCCACAGCTAAAATGTTTGGTGGGACCAGGATTCCAGCCTGTGACCTTCAGATTGTGAATAGAGCACCCTAACCACCTGGCCATGCCAGGCCAGGAGGGAAGGTATCTGATCAACACCACCAACAGCTAACTCTTAAGCACTTCTATACCACTCTCACACTATAATATCTCTATGGCTGAAAGAGCAAGCATGTTCAGCAATAGGTCTGGATCTCACAACCTACACCCTAATTACCAGGCCACAAATGATGAACAATATGGTAACAAAAATATTAGATTGCAGCAATGAAACTAGTATAGCATTTAGTCATAAATAATTATATCATTATTCATTTCGAGACCAAAAAAATATGTTGAGAAATGACAATTTTAAACATTATTGTACACATTATATAAAAAGACTCCAAGTTACTATATATATAAATAATACAAAGGATAAGAAAAAAGAAAAATATTTGTTGGAAGTAAAATACTAGTCACATGGCTCCTCAAACACAAAGGAAACAGTTATATATTTAGCTGGACTGTTGGTATACACAGAAATAGCATCTGCTTTTTTATTTAGTATTTGTCTATCTATACTCCTTATGTGTTCAACAAGCAGAGAGCACGAGCTAGAGCAGAAATTCAATGAGGTAAGAATTAAAAACTAAACAGAGATTCTCAAAAATCTTAATACAATTAATCAACTCCCCAACTTGTTCATATGCTCAATTAAGTATTTCAGGAAACTTAATAAACTAGCTTCATGTTAACGAGTATTGAAAGTATTTAAAGAGGTAAAAACGCCATTGCCTCCTCAGTTACTTACAAATATATATATATATATTTGACCCGAGTTAAATACCCGGTCGATGGAATATTTCGTCGTTTCCTTTTGTACCTAGCATTAAACATAACAGCATTTGACTAACTTGGCATAAGATGATTGTGTTATATATTC